TCTACAGTTGTGTTTTTATGTCTGCCCAAACATAGGATTGTTCGGACCGTATGGTTTATACCTTGTTACAAAGCAACAGATTGCATCCAAACAAAACAAACTCTTCTCCTAATTGAATTAGACCCACTCTGAAATCACTGAGTGAATGTTTATTCTAGTCAGTCTAGAAGGCTTTCTGCCAATTTCCATATCTATGTTATTTTGGTAGTACAAATGAATAACATTCAAGACCTTTTTAGTACCTCGTAAAAGGAAAAATTCACAGTATTACTGCAGGTCTGCGCCAAAAAAAACAGCCAAAAACACTACAGTTGAACTCATATTGAGCCCTATTGAATTTGAATGACCTAAATATTCAGTGTATAATTGCTAACATTATTCCTTTTTCCTTAACAATTATAACAATGTATTGTGATGGATCTAACAATGGCCCCCTGCATTTACCATCAAATAAACGTGGAAACAACTCGGGGGTGAAAAAGTTACTCTGGGATTATTTTTCAAATATCATCTGTAACATGTGGATTTACAGTCGATTTGTTGAGTAACGGGAACACTCGCTGCAGATTTGAATTAGTCTCACTGCTACTAAAGTAATGTAAAGGGAACATCCAATCAGAGCATTTCAACTAAAGTACAATGATTACAGATTTAACGTCTATCCTCCTACAATTCCAGACTTTCTTTCTTTTTTTCAAATAAATGTGTGAACAAGTTTATTTGTGGAAATAAAAATTCTAAATTATTATTATTTTATTTATTTATTTTATTAACCACAGACCCTATTTCTAGCATCCAAAAAAACGTTGACTTACGGACGAGGGATGCGCTAAAATCTGTATAAATATCAGGTATTCTGACACTAAACCTATGACATTTGTGAGTGTGTACCTATGACGTGTGTGAGTGTGTAGATCTCAGATACTGCAGCATCATGGGAGCCATGCCCTGCCCTAATACGCAGCAGGAGACCCCCCCCACACACATGTCCACTTGTAAGGGCAACCACTTATCTGTTGTGTAAAGACATCGCCATGGAGACGAAGCATCTCGACTCCCAATAAATAAACAACATTGTCAAGCTGCGTTGTCGGGGGATGAGTCACAACGTCAGCTAATCACACAGCCCCCTGCCCCAAGACCCTTTCCTCTGTTATCTATGGGCTGCATAAACTCCAAACAGCTTACCATAACAGTTATCGATAAATGGACGGTGGGCCCATTTGGTACGATAACTCTTCATTCAGCCATGGGGCTGAACTTTCTGTGCACACACAAAGCTGCCTTGCCTCTTTTTAACCTTTTCCCTGCGAGTAACATTTCTCTTTGCCAGCTTGGTGTATCGATGTCCGAATTCATGCTGAGGCTCATTGTTTCCAGGTTTTATATTTTTAAAAAGGACTTCCAACCGCAAAACCTGGCAGGTAAAAGACTATTTTGTCTTTTTTACATTTGCTCCTCTTACATCTATTATTAATATATATATATTTTTTTTAAAGGTGGGGTAGGTAATTTTGGAGAAACCAGCTCGAGTGCGCTAGAATTTGAAAATACACAGCCGGAAAAAATCGGCCACTTCCTTATAGAGCCCCTTCTCCAACACACACGAACGCGCACATGACCAATGAGGGCACGAGATAAGTTTGTGCACAGATGGAAGGCTGACAGGCAGGTAGGCCATCCAGTTATTTTAGCCGGGCCAGCTAAAATGATTGGTCGTGCTTTTTACAGTATTACGCCTTCCACAGATGACATTTTGTCAAAGCACTTAAGATATTCATTGCTATCGGGATGTTAAGGGCATTCCATGGAATATAACAAAAAGTGTATCTCGAGCCGGTTTCTCAAACTTACCTACCCCACCTTTAACATCAGCTTTGAAAATGGAACATCAGGTCAGAGGGCACATGAAGAGGGCTGATGGGAGTTCAATCTTGGTAGAATTTAAAATAAGTTGATATAAATATCTACAGTAGGTTTCATGCAGTTTTTTTTATAGTTGAGGCACCACACAAAGCCTGCACCTAAAGAAAGCACTTCCTTTAGCATAAAATGAAGTGATTACACAGGCGTATTAAGGTTAAAAATGAACCCTGGAAAGAGAGCCAAATATTTAACTGTCAGACTTTGAAAAACTTTCTTTTTTATTTTATAAAAGAATATATATGCCTAAAGCTGAGGGAAATTATTTGTGCTATCGTGTCAGCCTTCCATACATTTTTTTTAAATGTTTACTTCAAAAGTCTATTAACGGCCTTGATGAAGTCATTCTTAAAGAGGATTTGTTATGCTTTTTTGGGGTTTTCCCTTTCCTGTAGTGTGTTATATACTATAAGTTTGAGTGCATGTAAATGGTCTGCAAAGGCTAAAATCCCAAAGTTCCCTCCAGAGGGAGTTTCTCTTTTTTGAACATTAAAGCATGGAAACATGTCAAAAATAAAAGGCACAAAATAAAATTACGGAACCTGAAAATAAGCATAATAGGTCCTCTTTTAGCTAGCCTTTCTATCAATTGATTTCAAGCTCTAAAATAAACACCTATTATATTTGACTGGAATTTCCCATTTGTGCAGAACATGGCAATCTTCCCGGGCAATTTGCCAGGATGCCACCGTTTTGGTGGATTCAAAAGAAGAGAAAATTAGCTAATAAAGTGCCAATTCACTCCTGATATGTTAGAAAAACACTGTTAACTTAACACAACTCCAAAGGGGGAATTCCTGCTCTGTATGTTGTTGAAATTAGAGCTGTTTACTTGTGAGCATAATTTCTCGGCAGTGACGTCCATAACATTTGCACAAGCATTAAGGAAACTTAAGATCATGACAGATTGTGTAAATATGCATGATCGGAGATATCAGAAGGATATTTGCAAATAATTAGCTGTGTATGAGTCCTGACTTAATTTTCCAATCATTTCAGAACATTTGGGGAAATAATACTGACAGTCATTCACACATGCCAGGTACAAAATGTATAACAAGAAATGCTTAAAGCCACAAGTTTGGAACTTTCAACACCCAAATGACAATAATGAGACAAACAGGATCAGACAGGGGATTACCATACAAAGCCTCCATCTGCAAAACAAACATTTGATTTTTAGAAGTGTACTGGGAAGTTCAGGGAGTGTGCTATGTATTCCCTACACAATGTTACACCTGCAGTTCATACTTGCAGTAATAATTGAGTAAAAGCAAGAGGACTGCAACTCTAAAAGGTGTCGGCAGGATTTACGGATGATTGCCTCAAGCCTAATGTTATTTCAAGTGACAGGATACGAAACAACTACACGGAAGAATATACTCCCTCATTTGAGTATTTCAAAAAAAATCTCAAACCCTAGGATCATTTAAAAAACGTTTCTGCTTGGAGCACACGTATTCCAAGTCCTCTGACCAACTACATAAAAGTTCACTTTTTTACCCAATTGCTCAATGACATCCCAAACATAATTTATATAAAAAGTATGACACCTGAGGCAGATGATGGGACTGAAAAGTACACTGTTATAATTTATTTGATAATGGGGCAGAGTGTTGTTCATTTTAAAAGTTATGTTGTCAATGACCTCGAAAACAGTGTTTTTATCTAAAAATGGTGAGAAGATTTCAATGTTGAATTTTTCTTTTTCAATTCAGTACATCCTGTCTACATTTATCCCAGAGAACATGGACAGATGAATGTTGGTCTAACTTCTTGCACCTACAAACAAATATTCTGCGATAAACAATTAATACAAATATCTCTATTTGATTGTCATCTTGGGGAGTGGTAAGGAAGTATTTTTACGCTCTGTAAAATATTCTCTTATACAATCTTTAAAGCAAGATTTGTTTTAGCTAAATATTATCCTAAAGGAAAATAAGTTAAAAACCATTAAAGCAGTCTTTCTTATTTATTTTTTAGCCCATCCTCACAGCTGAACCAAATAGCTTGGCATTGGCCTTGTTGGCACAGAATAGGATGTTACATAATGTGCTTTGCTGCTGGGATGCTGGGGAGGGCAAGGATTGTCCAAGCAAGCCTGATTTACTTTGGTGTCATTTTCACCTAGAAACGTGCTCCAGTAAAGAAGACTTCAACCTTCTTTTTAAAAAAAAGGAGCTGTACACACAAAGTCATTGGGCATATTATCATTTTGACCCCTGAAATTATCTTATTTATTGCTGGTCTTTTTTTTTCCAACATGGACGCCAGATTGTTTGTCTAATTAACTTTGACTTTATTAACATTTAGGGGGTTGTAAAAGCTCAGTAATTTGATCATCCACTAAATTAACAGTGAGGCCCTTAGCAACCTTCAGAAGAAGGCAGGAAGGCCCCTGTATCTGTTTTATTGAAGGACATGAAACTGCTTATATCATAATGCCTTCTTGGCCAGGTCAGCATTGAAAATGAGATTTTATCTCAATGCTTTTTTATCTGGTTAAATAAAGGTTAAATAAAAGTATTCGTCAGTCAAATTAAAATACCCATCAGAAAAGCAACAACCTTATTTATATGTTAACCTTAACCTGTACAAGTGATTTATTTATAAATTAAGTGCAAATAATAAAAAAATATTTGTATTTGGCTGGAGTTTAACCCAAATTGAACATCATTTTCAGTCATGGCTGACATTTATTTTGTAATATCTTCAAAACCTCTATAGACAACAGGTCAGTAGTGTTTCTCTACAACAGCTGGTATAGTAGACTATAAAGGGCTCAGACAAACGAGTAACATATCGTATCCAATTTAGCAAAACAACCTCAATATGATTTTTTTTTTTTAAACAAAAGTGTGGGGTTATAAAGCGTTGAATCACAACAGGACCATTGTCTGGCTATTGGCCACTTGTATAGTCCCAGAGGAGGATGTCTCCCAGAAAACCTGTTATGTTAGATTATATTGAAATAACCAGATTTAACTCGACCAATTTAGTTTTTTTTAAGCATCACATTTAGAGTTAAGTGCTTTATAACCGTGTAAAGAAATGAAAATAAGAGTGACATTTACCTTTGACACACAGTAACGACATGGTAAAGCTCTTCCAGTGATAGTCCAGTAGTTTGACACAGTTTGTAGAGCAGCTCTCAGCGGAGATTTACTCCGTCGAGTATCATTGTAAGCGGTAAATTACTTTTTCAAATCGCTGATAAGCTCCAAATCGACGTTTACAGGTGGTTTTCCGAAGCTGGACTCGGGCAGAGAGCGGCAGCCCCCCGCCACGGCCACGCCATTATTAAAACTCTCATCACAGCTTTTCCAGACTGACGAACAACCTGAGGGCGCCGAGAGAGGCGGGGTCGATGCACCTGTCACTGGCGTCTGAGCTGACCAATCAGAGTACAGTACCGTGCTAGAGGGCGGGGCCGATTAAAATATATCCAACCAATCGCTGAGAGGAACAGGTTGGAGGAAGACCAAGCTAAAAGATTATATTGTGCAGTACTAATTATTATTTCAAGCAAGATAAACATGACATATTCATGGTTAACTTGTTGATATTATATCATTTTTTTATTTTATTTTATTGTTAATTGCTTTGAATATATTAATAAGATAACAGTTTTTATTGCTTAAATTGTATGATGGAACCTTTGAAAAAAAAGTCTAATTATTTTACATTACATGTTACTTGTTAGACGCTTTGGAGCGACTTACATACTCAATACTGTGGGCAATCCCCACAGGAGCAATTTGGGGTGAAGTGTCTTGCCCAGGGACACAACGACATGCTGACTGCAGTGGGGTTTGAACCTGTGCTCCCTTGATCCGAACACCAATGCTCTATCCACTGCGCCACACGCGCCTCGTTATTAGAATTTATTTATTCCTTGATGATTTTTTTGACAATTTCTTTCCATTTTATGGATGCCAATATTGTATTAGGCTACACTTTGAAAACGTTTACATGATATGTTAAGCAAAACAACACATGCAATAGAAAGTTATATATTAACCTTAAGACAATGATAAGTGTCCACTGTTAATTACAATTGAATGTTATTTTGTACAAAGAAATGCATGTCAGCAGTTTCTTTTAGTTTGTCTGTCAACAAATATAATGCTTTTTTTTATTATTGTTGTAATGTATAGATCCCTCGATGTGACTTTCTTTGTCATTAAAATGGATGACTGGTTGTGTAAATATACAAATGTCAGTTTGAGCACCATCATTTCTTATTTTATGATAAAGTTATTTTAATAACGTTTATAGTAGTTAGTCTCCTGTATTCATTAATAATATGCCTTTTCACACAACATTTATTTTTTATTGAATGTGAATGGTGACTTACATTTTACAGTTTTTGACTTTTATTCAGAATCAGTTTTGTTACCAAGTAGGTTTACATATACTAGGCATTTTTTATTTGCATATGTGGTGCATACAACGATTATTGTATCTGAAATCACACAAGATCCCCAATCTCTGACTATTTTGTATTTCTCATGTAATGGTTTTTTACTGTAATGAATTTGATCAATGCATTATAACAATTTTTTGCTTTAAGTATTTTATCTATGACATTACTGTAATATGTTCGATGGTTGAGTTAAACTCTGTTAATACAACAACAACAAAACTGTCAAGGGTCAAGTCAGGTCAGCTTTATCAGACCCTTATACCCCCTATATTGTTCACTGTTGCATGTTTCGACGTAAAATACTAGGAAAACATTATAAAGCCATATACAAACATATACTCATGTTCTGTCCGCTGTCTGCTTGTCCTATTTCCCATATTGACCCAATGTCGTCCTTTTGAACAGATACGACATAAACCAAGAGATCCCAAAGAAGCTACATTTGGTACATTTAAATATATACCACACACCTGCAGCAGAGCTAATACCAAGCCAACAGCACCCCCCTGTGTGATAAATAAAAACTGTAGTATCAACTTGTAAGCGGAACCATAGTCGTACGGTTTTTGCAGCCTTCACCGTAGGGACGTTTTTACCGTTGCACCACTGATGTAACTTTCATTTCCTCATCGTTAAGGGTCATACACACGAGAACAGTTCGTAAAGAGTCCAATTTACGAAGCCGAAACTAAATACAATCACTCAAATTCATTTTAATGATGCTACGGGCGCTGTGTCGGACTGGCGGGGCCCTTCTGCAGGTAAATTAAAGCTTTCTAAGCACTTCCGGCGGCATGTTAACTTGTGTGGTTGTCATTCAGCGTGCACCAGGGTGTTATTAATCCACGAAATGTCCCTCTTTATTCGGATAGAATAACTCCTGAGACCGTGCCAAGTTAACACGAGAGGCACACTTTATTTAGCTTACCACTGACTGTCATGCTAACCGTTCATTATGGCCTGGGAAATGCTAACAAATGCGTACTGTATTTCAAATAAATACCACGAGCAAATCAGAAATGTTATGCACAGTTTGGAGGCTTTCTATAGACTTAATAAATTGAATCATCAAATTAAAATAAATGTTGCAGCTTTATCTATATTCATCATATAACACTCTTTGCTGCAGGGGCTTTGGTTTCACAAGCATATTTTATTTATTTGTTTGTTTTTCCTGCCTGTTTGCGTGTGTAGCAGACCCAGCGTGCGGCGCCGAGGCTGTGGGTCACCCCGGCCCAGCAGCGATGGGCGTCCGGCCTCCCCATGAACACCGTGGTCCTGTTTGTGCCGCAGCAGGAATCCTGGGTGGTGGAGAGGATGGGTCGCTTCCACCGAATCTTAGAGCCGGTATACAGCCTTTGTTGTCAGAAGATTCCTTACCAAATACTGTTAAATATTACTGCGGGGAAACAATAAACAATAAACAAATTCTCAAAAACACTTCTATTTTTCCTCTTTTAGGGTTTAAACTTCCTCATACCTGTAATGGACCGAATTAGCTATGTGCAAAATCTCAAAGAGATGGTCATCGATGTCCCGGAGCAGTCTGCAGTATCTCTAGGTGAGGGGTAAATCAAGTGTACAAAATTAAGTGTGACAATTGTCCAATTAATAACATTTTTTATAGGAAATCGCAATATTCAAATTGCAGCAGGCAGAATATTTGTTAGAGGCTAAATATTTGTGGGAGAGAAACTCCTTCCTGAGGGAACTTTGGGATTTTAGCCTTTGCAGATAATTTACTGCGCTCAAATCTTTATTAAAAACACTACAGGAAAAAGAAAACCCCAAAAAGCATAATAAGGCCTCTTTAAAGCATTTAAATTGTGCAGCTCCAGAGACAGCAAACACTATTTATTTTTAATGAGCGCTTCTTGTATTTACAGATAATGTATCGCTACAGATTGATGGAGTGCTTTACCTAAGGATCCTAGACCCTTACAAGGTATGCTGTTAAGAGCTGCTTCAATTAATACAATAATTGTCGTTTTACCTCGGATTACATTAATACTAGCTTTACCTTTTACATTTTTTTGTTCCCAGGCCAGTTACGGTGTGGAGGATCCTCAATATGCCGTCACACAGCTGGCACAGACCACCATGAGGTCTGAACTGGGCAAACTCACACTGGACAAAGTGTTCAGGGTAAGGGCACATACTGATTCGATAATTACTTGTATTATTGTTTTGAATGAACTTAATTCAATAAGAAATAAATAGGCGAGAAAGAAATACAAATACAGAGGTGAGTTGGGGGTGGGGTAATGAGGACTTTTAGAGTAATAAACAAAGATACCTTTTGCCAGGGGTAGACATTAAGGGTACAATTCCACAGTGGAATTGTATTATCACTGGCCCCACCATTGTAACCACTGGCCCTAGAGCATTCATCCAAAAAATCGACAATGAAAAAAAATGAACACATTTGTTGTGTGTGCACAAACTACATTACTACTTGTACTACAACATTTGAATCATCAGTTCTTCCTCATTTTCCTCAATTGTTCATATTTGGTTTATTCAAATAATTATATTGTGGTCATTGTTAAAAAATGTCTGCTATTATCATTATTATGAGTATTATTATTTGTATAATGCGCTTTCTGCCTTCCTGTCTTCAGGAATTAGAAATGTAATGGCTATGTACATGTAATAGCCTAGATTAGAACCGTCATTATCCTAAACTTCTAGGACATTTCCCTATAGCGAATACCTTTATATTTGTTCTACTCTTCACTTACTTGTCAGCATAGGTCGGCAAAAGTTGTTTGCTTTTCACCCAACAACGACAACCGCCTCACGAAACGCTATGTTGTAGCGTTAATAAACGAAACAATGGTCAAAATACCAATACCACAGGACCATTTTCTTTTTTTAAAGCAATATTTTTAGTGGCCCGAGCGGGCAAGTGGAAAGTACGTTATGCTGGCCCGGGGTGTCTAAATAGTGCTTCCGGGCCAGCGGGCCATTTATAATGTCGAGCCCTGCTTTTACACATACGGTTTATAACGTAATATTGTTTTATTATCAGTAGCTGCAACACATTTTTAAAGCTGCGTTATCGATCCTTCAATAAGAAGTACTTTGAAGACTTATTTGCGCTTTTCTTTAATACGGACAATGCAAACAATTTAACTTGACAGATGTGCTGCGTGTTTCTAGCATAGGCTAGTTTTGAAACCTTTCTCAAAATAAAACTGCAACTGTGTTCTATTTCTTGTTTGGAAAAGGAGAACAAATGACTGCTTTATTTCACATTCTTCTTCGGTATGATTCAGTATAAGTTGTCATACGCACTGCAGTCACTAAACGTTTGTTTCTTTGTCCCCTCAAAGGAAAGGGAGTCCCTCAATTCCAACATTGTCCAGTCCATCAACCAAGCCTCAGACGAGTGGGGGATCCGTTGCCTGCGTTATGAAATCAAAGATATTTATGTTCCCCCTCGGGTAAAAGAGTCCATGCAGATGCAGGTGGGGGCCAAATATTTTTCCTTCAACAAATGCTTTTTGTGTCACATATACGTTTGTTTCAGTATATTTCATTGAGATTGAAGAAGCGAGAAAATTGACAAACTTCAGAATTTGTATTTACCGGCCATTCAAATGAAGTAAATGATTGTTGTCAACACATTTTCTTATATGAAAACAGAAACTGTTATCCTCAGAGTCTAGGAAAACATGTCAGGTCTTGTGTTAACTGTACTAACAACCCTATAAAGTGGCATTATACCGGTGAGGCTGGATAAGTTAGAGAGCTGTATTAATCACAGGAAAACACACTTTTTTATTCCCCCCCGTGTAGGTGGAGGCTGAGCGTAAGAAGAGAGCCACAGTGCTGGAGTCTGAAGGGACGAGGGAGGCGGCCATTAACATCGCCGAGGGTCATAAACAAGCCCAGATCCTGGCCTCCGAGGGAGAGAAAGCAGAGCAGATCAATAATGCGTCTGGTGGGTGCACTTCAAAGACCCAGCTCAGTTGTTTTGTACCTATAGTTTTTTTTGTTATGTGGTTCTGAGCTTTGAGGGATTGTGCTTGTTTTGCCTTCTCTGCTGTGCTTAGTTATGGTTGTTAGGTTCAGGATGCAAGGCTTACAATCTTGTATCACTATGGAAGCCTATTTCTGCATGTAAAGATAGAAAGTGAGATGAAAACTTAGCCTTCTGATAAACAAAAGCTGTTCATAATATTATGATGACAAACTCAAAAAGATGACTGAGCATCTAAAAAATGTGGACTAAGCGTCTAACATTTTTGACTTAACTTTAGTGTTTCCAATGTACAACTTAGCATCTCAAAAATACTGAACTCTCAAATTAATGATAAAGCATCTCAAGTGTGAATTAGCTTTTCAAAACAAAGAGAAATTGTTTCAAAAATAAAGACTTGATACTTATTTTGAGATAACAAGTCAACATTTGCAGAAGTTTTGCCATTATGACCCACAGGATTTCTTTGGATCAGGCAGAAGTGGGCTTGACTGATCAGGACACAAGTGAGACGTTATTAATGGACAGAGTATTACTGTGTTTCCCCGCAGGAGAGGCTCAAGCAGTGTTGGCCAAAGCAGAGGCTAAGTCTAAGGCTATCCGTATGCTGTCAGACGCTCTGACCGAGCAGGTGAAGAGGAGTTTATCTTTTTCAATGAGCTCTATACGACCATTGTCTTATCTTTCAAAGCTAATGTATTTCACCTTTATTGTACAATGCACAGAATGGAAACGCGGCGGCCTCCCTTAGCGTGGCTGAGCAGTACGTGTCAGCTTTCTCCAAACTCGCCAAAGAGACCAACACCATCCTCCTGCCCTCCAGCGCCGGGGACATCAGCGGCATGGTCACACAGGTACGTACACCAGCATCATTATCTCAGAGTACTTTATTATCCAGGGGAAAAAGGGGTTTTGTGACATTTTCTTCATTTTACAATGAAATAAAGAAAAGCTAAATAAAATAAAAAGATAGAAACAAACTATTTATATGAATATGAATCAGAAACAGGTTTATGCCAATAAGTTAACACATACGAGGAATGTGTCTTGGTGTACATTGTGCATACATAAACACATTTAAAGAAGATAAAAAGCAAGAAAAAACACCAACAAATAAAATGTAAACTACGTTAAGATATAGGCAAGGCAAGTTTATTTATATAGCACCTTTCAGCACACGGCAATTCAAAGTGCTTTACAAAATAAAATAAAAGACATCGAACATTATTTACATGAAATCTGGATATACCAAAAAAACGACGTGCAGTATACTATTGCAAAGTACTTGGAATAATAAAATAAAATATGTACAGTATTATTATTTAAACACAAATTAAAATAGGAATGGGCAGTAAAAAGTACAATGTCTAATTAAATATAAAATAAAGTGAAATCTAACTGCAGTCTGAGTTTGACAAGTGTCAATGTTGTACACTGAAACTTGTGTTTTTAGTCACCAGAATGATTCTCTCTTGTTGTCTTTAATGCATAGCAATAATTGTTCTCATTCTGTCCTCCTGCACTCAGGCAATGACCATTTACAGCTCATTGGCAAAGACGAGCACACATGTAGTGGAGGAGAAGAAGAGTGATGATGATGGGAACAAACCACATCAATAGCAGGACTCAGCGGACACAGAATGAACTCTACTGACACAGAACCACAAGCAGCTACAGTTATGTTTTCAGTTATTGGGACTCCAGGGCATCGCTGTGAGAAAAGCTTCACACAGCTTCAACTGACAGGACAGAAGGAAAACTGACAACTTTAAACACTTCAGGAATGTTTTGTCTTGGGGGAAATCATGTCCTGTTTCAGAGGATTTCTAATCTTCACTGACTATTCTTTACGTTTAGTTATTGTCTGATTGGGAAATGAACACATTTTTAGCCAAATATACTCACAACAGTGACTTTGGCTGGCTGGCGAGAGGGAGAAATAGATGTCAGGTTTTTGGGATTCACCAGCTTCTGGGTGCAAAATACTGTCGTGCAGTAATGATATACCATCATACGTTAATTATTTGTACTTACATGACCTCAATTGGACTTAAAGGTTTCAAAATATAATTAAAACACACCATTTTGTTAAATGTATTTGACTTTTGATACTGATATCGAGGGCTGTCTTACATAAGCTTTCAGGTTTGTAATAATGTCTTCAGCCTTATTGGGACCAGCAGCTTTGAGTTACATGTGATGTCTGACTGTTTGCTTCATAATGCTGATAAGTTTTACAAAATTAAGTTGATTCACAAAAAGCATCTCCCTAAAAACAACCCTTATCCAGTATCTACTTATATTATTTAACAATACCTTATTAGTTCATTGTAAATACACAGCTGGCCCTATAGGAACAAATGTCCCATCATTTTTTTTTTTTTTATTCACCTTCTATGTCATGAGGTTCATGAAGTACAAGAAACAAAGATTTGTGAAGTGGAATTAGACTAAGTACGTTTGAAAATATACACGTTAGAAGAATACTGCATAGACGATCCTAAAGAAACAATTGGACTTCTTCAGATGTTATGTTTGGGAACCCTTGACTGTTTATGAATGAAATCTTACATTATAATTAGAAAAAATACATTAAAGTTGACCTCCATGTTAAGGGTCACTTTTTTTGGTTCGCCAATGTACAATTACCATGACAATGCAATGTAAAAAAGGTGTTTAATTTGGTCTGAGTGTCAATAAATACATTTATAAATGTTCGACTATTGTTGTAAATCAGTAGAGGTATGTTGAACATGCCAGGGTTCATTATTCGTTATAGGGATACATGGTATGGCAAATGTAGTCAGGAATATTTGGAAAACTATAAGACGACAAAATAAATGCTTCAGTATTGTAAATGGGAAATACTTTAAATGTAATGCGTTTACATTCAAAATCATGTAAACAAAGTATATCTGTTCTAGGTACATTGTCACAAGATTACAATTCGCAGAGGACTGAATTTGGTTCCTCAACATAATGACGGAGTGACACCTCTTTACTCACGTCCTCGCTCTCCTATCTGTGATACAGTGTGTTTCAGCCCTCTTCTTTGCCTTACGGACGGACAGGAAGCTTGTAGTTATACAGTCTACTACGGTTTGCATTATAAATTGTTTTGCGTATTAAATTATAATAAAGCAGTTCAGCACTATCCAATTTAAGTTTCCTTCTATCTGTTTATTATAACATGGCATCTTTAAGGGTAAAGCCCATCATAACGACGTCAACAAGAACTTTCTCTCCAACCGTGTTAAAGAGGCAACTCAAAAAGTTAGTAATAGAAGCAGGCTAACTAATAAAAAATGTATATAAAACAAAGAAAGCTAAATGTTAACGTATTACTACATCCCTGCAAGTGAACAGTGGAGCGAAATGTCTGTCTGAAAGTCCGGGTGTGGGGAAAAAAAACACACAACATTTCTGCGCTACACAGAAAACCGTCCTCCTCATATTTCCGCCGGGTTGCGCGCACGCTGAAGTTCCTAGCTGCTGTCACCAGCCTCTAATCTCACCGTACCGGAGTCCCAATGAAGGTGAAGGGGGTGTTGCGCCGTTCTCTATTTACCTGAGACACCTGTACCCTTGTGTTGTTACTAAACACACACACACACTCACATCCGCCCTCTGGCAGAGAGAGGAAGAAAACCCGACTGCTGCAAGGTCAGTGACAAGAGCTAACACAAGCTAGCCGCAGCTAACAACTTACTAACGGTCTCTTTCAATGTTACTAGCATTAGCATCTTGTTAGCCCCATAGACAGGTTTATTTGACTGTATTTCTGTTTGAACCTGTATGTGTGCAGAATGAAGAAGCTTCCAGTGCTCTCCCTGCTCCTCTGGGTGTGTGCGGTGTACTTTGTGGGCATTTACCTGTTCGTCGGCGGGTTCCTGCTGGTGAGGCTGGAGGTGAACCGGACCAGTACCTGCGGGGACGTGCTGCAGCCCGGGGACGAGCTGCAGCCCGGGGAGGAACCAGCCGACTTCTGCCGGGTCCAGCCTCGGTTCCGCCGGGCAGTCCTCCTCATCATCGACGCCCTCAAGATCGACTTCGCCTGGTTTGACCCCAACAACACGTCTCCGAGACCTTATGAGAACAAGCTGCCCGTGCTGGAGGAGACAGTCACATCCAGGCCTTCCCACAGCCGCCTGTATCCTTTCCGAGCTGACCCACCTACGACCACCATGCAGAGGATCAAGGGCTTCACCACTGGCTCCTTGCCTACCTTTGTGGATGTAGGCAACAACTTTGCATCCAGTGCCATCCTGGAGGACAACCTCATCCACCAGTTTGGGCAAGTGGGTGAGTAGATACACAGATGTCTTTATCATGTGTCCTCTGCAAGACACTCATTTAGGATGTTCTGCAGAATTGAAGAAGATAATCTATCTTGACAGTTCTTTACAGCCTGTTAAGGGGAGGTTAACGCCACCAAAGGGCTGCTCTGCTGACTATGCTCCAATGGAAGCTTGTGGTAAGGCAGGACAAGCACAGGTGTGGATAATATCGTTAATGATGGCCCAATAGATTTTCAATGTCATGAATGAGTGGCACGACAACTACATGCATCATCTAAATGGAATGGAGCCATCTTTAATGTTTTAATTCCACCTGTGATTTTTCCTGCTTGCTTTGACAAGTAAAATTTATATTAAAGTGTGAATGTATACTGTTTTTGAGTTATATGCCTATACAGACATTTCTGTTTTGTGCCTATTCATACTTTATGACATTGGTTTCAGTCATTGGGTCGTTAGATTATTCCTGAGAGTCGCCATATGATTGTGGAGTAAAAAAAAAACATGGTCAATTGCTTTTAAATTGCATCGAACCACTGCTTTATCACACCTCAAAATCTTCCAAGTCCATTTTTAAATCACTGATGGCATGTGCTCTGATTTGAACTCCCTTCACAGGCAAGCGCGTGGTGTTCATGGGCGACGACACTTGGGAGAATCTGTTTCCCAAGAAGTTCCACCGCTCGCTGCCCTTCCCTTCTTTCAACGTGAAGGATCTGCACACGGTGGACAACGGCATCCTCCAGCACCTCTACTCCACTAGTATGTATTCACCTTGGCACTTCCTGTTACCTTCTCGTATCGCTCTCGCGCTTCACACCTCTCCATCTCTCACTTGCTGTTGGTTTTCTCAGTGGTGGGCGAGGATTGGGATGTCCTGGTCGCTCACTTCCTCGGAGTGGACCACTGCGGTCACAGGTTCGGCCCCGACCACCCGGCCATGGCGGACAAGCTGACGCAGATGGACGGAGTCATCAGGTCAGGAATGCCACATCCGAGACATCTTTGATGAGTCTCTCCCTGAAATCCCTCTGACCATATTCCCGTTTTTCCTCCAGGTCTGTGATCGACCGCCTGCAGAACGACACCCTCCTGGTGGTGATGGGAGATCACGGGATGACGGACACGGGGGATCACGGCGGGGAAAGTCAGAAGGAGACGGACGCTGCCATCTTCCTCTACAGTCCCTCCCCTCTGTTCCCCGGACCGCCAACCCAGGTCCGTAGAGCACCGCCGGTTTTAGAGAGGCCCTATTATGCTTTTCCCTTTCCTGTAGTGTGCTATAGGTTTGTGTGCATGTAAATGGTCTGCCAAGGCTAACATCCAGTATGAGGAAAAAGAAGACCTTTTTGAACATTAAAGCATGTAAACATGTCAGAGTAGAGACACAACATACAAATATGAACCTGGAAATTAGCATAATATGGCCCCTTTTTTTATTTTATGATCAAGAGCTCAATAAGATGAATTTCTAGCCAATGAATGAATCTTAAGAAAGATTATTTCAGTTTATTGTGGAGGATAAATGGACGAAGAGAAGATAATAACCAATACATAATATTATTTCTGTGTTTTATCTGTTGTAACTTTGTTCATGCTGCCCTTCTTGGCCAGGTCGCTCTTGGAAAAGAGATTTTAATCTCAATGAGACTTTTACCTGGTTAAATATAATAAACATTTGAAAACGTTTCAGAAGAACAAAAAATGCTGTCTATCTGACAACGTTAGCTTCTTCCTACATCTTTATGTATGATCTCATAATAGAATATGAATTCCTATTAGACACGGAGACTCTGTTATTTAGCAATTTTCCTCATGATTCAACTTATCTAGCAATCTCCCTAATAAATACCACCGCAGTGGCAAATGACTTCTTCATTTAATGGAGTCATTATTCATAATCTGCTTGCCGGTAATTTACTACGCCAACCTTTGGGAGATTTGTGGAGTCAGGTGCTCAAACATCTATTTGTAGATGAATCAAATTGATCTAAGCTTTCAATTAGTTAAGTAATTATAGGCAGTTTGCATTCGGCAAACGTTGAAGATGAACTTTCCCTGCAGATTTATCTTCTTGAAACTAAATTTAAAAAATGCCTAAATAGGTACAGTGATTTAAAGAGGACATCATATGCTCATTTTCATTTGTATTTTGTGCTTCAATGTTTAAAAAGGTCTCTACTTTTCTCATACTGCCTGTGCTGCAGCACCTCTTTCCCCCCCCCCCCTCTCTGAAACCAGAGCCCAGTCTGCTCTGATTGGTTAGCTGCCAGGCTCTGTTGGGATTCGTCAACTGCTCACAGATGTCTCGCCCCTTAGCTATCATGTACACAATTGAGCTGATGAAATGTAAAGTATGAGCACAGGTGTAAAAACATGTCATATTGTCAGTGAAGCTTCATTAGACAGAACCTATTTAAAGTTTGAACAACATTACATTGTTAGCAAAGTGCTGCAAAAGTAATGACTTATTTCAGAAGGTAGATGTAACTGAATACAGGACCTCAGCCATTACTAATGACTTTTCTCCCAGTTGTTGAAGCTGAATCACCCTAACACCCTGGGCTGTTATTCTCTCACCTTTGCAGAGTGAACCGGACGTGGTGCCGCAGACGGACCTGGTGCCCACCCTGGCTCTGCTGCTGGGGGTCCCCATCCCGTACAGCAGCGTGGGCCAAGTCCTGCTGCCCGTGTTCTCCCCCCACGGGCAGACAGGAGGTGCAGTAGGAAGTCTCAGCCAGCTGGAGGCGCTGTGGATCAATGCTAAACAGGTAGGACCATCAGAGGACACAATTGAAATATCTTCACCAGGGATGGAAGAAGCATTGCATCAAGGTGCATCGTATTCTATACTCATATATTTCTCTCATGAGCTGTTTTTTAAGATGCATTTCCCAGCTGATTTTGAATTGGTTGGTTTAGTTTAAGAAGGAGAACTTTCTTACCTGTAAAGTGACACTTTTTCCTTCAGATTATCATAAATATTCAAAACCAGTGCATTTGGAAACAAGTGGTTTTCATTGGATAGGAAGGGGATGAAAAATTAAGTTTCATTTAAAGTAAATACTCAAATAAAGTAAATTTAAATTCTGAATTTAAATACAGTATTTAAAAAATGAATAATTAAATAAGTTCTTTTCCAAACATATTATAGAACATGTTAAGTAATCATGTTTTTTGTCTGTTTCTCGAATTCACCTCACCTTACCTTGTTGTTCCTGAAGGTCAACCGTTTCCTGGAGACGTACTCCGGCATGGCCAAAGACATCCCGGCGGAGAGCCTCTCTCAGCTGAAGTCAGAATTCTCCCGCCTCTCCTCTGAGTACCTCGCCACGGTCAGAGAGGGCCGCCCCCCCTCCCCCCGGCTGGCCGCCTCGCTGCAGGCCTACCTCACCTCGGTCAGAGCCACCTGCCGCGCC